GAACCTTTAGTCAGCAGAAATGCATAAGTATCAGAGGGGACAACTGTGAAGAGGGAATTAGAAGGCCAGAAAAATGCAAGAGTCCTAGCTTGTGACATTTCTGTTGAAAACTCAGAAGTCTGCTCAAACAGATTTAAGACATCCTGTTATGATTTATAATCATCAGCCATCTAATACATACGAACAAATAATGATGTGATAGCTACTGAAACCACAACCATGAGAAGGAGGCTAGTCCACATGACAAGCTGTGCCCCTTGTACATGAGTTGGGCAGTTTCTTCCAGACCATAATTACATGCCAAAAAAATAAACTCTGCAGTGGTTTGGAGGAAATTGTTGAATCTGAATAGCAAGCTGCTGCATATGTATAGCCAGGGGTCATTTCCTGCAGGAGCGCACAGGAGCGGAGCTCCGGCCGTAAGGAGCCCAGGGGGCGGGCACATGCAACAAGCCCCGCCCCCTGCTCCCAGCAGCCAGGTAAATTGCAGTGGGTGTTGCCTTCTGACACACTTCCGGTGATGTCAGGGGGTGTGGCATATGCAAAGACGTTATTCTAATGAGTTGTGCTAATGACTTCCTGCACCTCTTTTTCTACGAAATGACCCATGAGGGGAGGGAGGGGCTATGGCTCAGAGGTACGGCTTTGTATGCAGAAGTTCTTAGGTTCAATCCGCGGCATCTCCAGTTCAAAGGAGCAAGAAGGAGGTGCTGTGAAAGACCTGTTCTTGAGACCCTGGAGACCTGTTGCTAATCTGAGTAGACAGTACTCACCTTGGTAGATCCAGGGGTCTTACTCAGGAGTAGGCAGCCTCACATGTTCATGTGTGTTCAACAGGTGTTGCATGGTATTATTGCAATGTATCTGCCCCGTAGAATGTATTTGTTGTTGGGATATTTCATTTTGAGCAATAGTCAGGGGATTAAATAGTTGAATGTTCCTCTGCATTAAAAAAAAACACACCTCCTCCCCTAATATACAAATCTAGGATATGGAAGGGAGTGTCTGGTTTTCTCCCTAATTCTTAAGATGAAGAAAGCTTTAAAATATTCGATGCCACACCATCTCTTAGAAATGGTACAGTCCAATCACAGACATGTTATGTGACACTCCTGATTTGGTGTGCAGGCTCTACCAGACAGAAATTGCAGAGTGCAACATTATTGCAATTTAATAAGCATTCTGCACCAAGAAAGCCTAAATTCTGTGCCCAGAATAAAGTAGATTCTTTTATATAGTTTATCTTTCCTTTACCTTCAGTCTTTGTAACAGAAAATCACTGACTAGCAAAATGTGGGAAAGAGCCCAGAGTTAGAACACCGGATGGCCAAGGGCCATACTAGGACAAGACAATGCAACATTAACAAGCTCAGAAAGGACACAAACACATTTCCGACTGCTTTGCGGGAAAGACTGCTTGAATGATTCATGGAGCAGAGACAGATTTGAAGACTAAAAGAGCATTGCAGATCACTGACGATAGTATAATCCATTACAAATTAGATCCAATGAAACTGTAGGAAGTGCAGGAAGCAGTATGAAGGGAGCAGTCCCTGGCAGTGAACCCATTGCAGTAGTTTTTGAAACCATTGCTATTTGGTAGGATGTATTTGGAAGCAGACAGTTTTTGCGATATGAATAAAGGCACCTCTGGCTTCACGCTGGGGATCCCTAAGCCACAGATGTTAAGGGAGCAACGCCCGTGCAGAATGGCCACCACAGTACCAAAACAGCAGCATCTCATCAGTACCTCTTAATCTCTGCAACAGCAGCTACCTCTGTAAGTGTACATCCGGCTTCATGTTCTGTTTCCATGCATCCAACGCTTCTGGGAGCAATATGTGGCTGTGTCCTCAGATGCTCCGATGGATGGATCTTTCAGAGCTGTTAAGACTTCATTGCCCTCTTGCAAAGGACCAAATCTTGCAATTTGTCAGAGAGCAGAGCGGCTCCTAGAAATTGCTGCGGGCCACGTTTCTTCTGATGTACCTTCATCGCACACGATGTGATTGTGACCCAGGGAGCTATTTCACCGAAAACAAAACATTTTCCTCAGTTGTTGGTTGACCTGATACCTTGCCCTTCAGCTGCATTCACAGCTGCTTCAGAGAAAAACTTTACGTAGAGTGTGAAATAATATCGAATTTACAGAAGCAGGGTATGAAGGACCCCATGTGGACTATCATCTATTTTCAGTTGGAAAATAGTCTTAAATTCCTCTGAGTTTAACAGGTGTTTTTTTTTGGGGGGGGGCGGATTCTGAGATTTCCCAGTGGTAGGGTAAGAAAATCAAACAAGGAGTAATCCAAGATAACAGTTTACAAGAACCTGTTCCAGCACATAAATACTACAACCAGGACTTATTATCTAAATTTGTTTTCTGTGCTAAGTCCCAAAACATATACACAGTAATTTTGTAAGAGATTGCTAGAATGCCTTCCCAATCACCACTGTCTGTCTGCTCAGAATATTATAAACATAACATAATTATGCTTTGTGTGAAGAAATGTTTTTCTTTGGTGAATTTTAAATCCAACGCCCGTCAATAGCCAGAAAGTGTCTTTGAGGTCAGCTTAAGTCACGGTATCTTTAATTTTCAGAACATGAGACCTGATAGGAAGCACTGTGTCATGAACCCTCATGCATGGGAATTATGCCACTTAAACTTTTACAAAAAACCTAACGTTTTGCTTGCATTCTGAGAGCTGAGAAGGCCAAGGAATATCTTGATATCAGCTGGGTAGCTCTGAAACAAGCTGGACAGCCAGCAAGAAAGCAGTCTCTTTTCTAGGAAAATGGCTTTCTATCAGAAACTTCACTAACAATTGTATGAAACCCTGCAGGTTTTGTGAACATGGGTTTAAGATGGCATTGGATGAGCATAAAGGCATGGGGAATGGAAAGGAATGTTTATTGTGGAAAAAACATTGACCGTAGAAAGTACCATTGAGGTCCAAGAACTGACAAGCAAAAGAAGATGAATGCACCAGAAGACTGCAAAGACCTACACGGGAGGAGATTGCAGCTATAGAATTTCGGTTTTTCTCTCTCTTCTCTCTTCCCCTCTCTCTTTCCCCCTTTGCCTTATATATTTCCCCCCCAAGTAAAGCAGCCTGGATTATATAGTGTAGGGGAGCACATGGGTAGGGCTATTGGGACACCCCCACACACCTCCCCAATGGGCAAGACTCCTGTGAAAGTCTTCTCTGGAACTGTTCCAGAGTCCCGGGTGAGGGAACGCCGATGAGAAGAGCTCCAGTTTGAAGAGGAAGAACAGAACTTAGTAAAATGTAAGAGAGCAGAGCTAAGAATTGGAGAAATATATTTCGGTTTTGTATCTTACTTTCTATCTTAATTTATTCTAACCCATTTTAGTATAATGATTCAGAAATGAAATATATATAGAACACATGGTTATAAAATAAGGAGCTTTAAAGGGAAATGATGGGAGATAGAGTTTATAAGTGCATTTGTACTGGAGTAATTTTGGGAGGCAGAAATATTAATTTAGGTGTGCCAATTCTACTGGATTAATTAAAGGTTATAATTTATTAATGAAGTAGAAGCAGAATAAGATTGGCAGCTTGTGGAAGACTACTATCAAAGAATGTTAAATGTACTTTTTGGTGTAGAATAACTTGTAAACAACTTGTAAGAGTTTGAAATTAATAAAAATGTAACTGAAAAAAAAAAGAAAGCACTGTTTATGCCAGTCCACTCTGCATGGGTGGCCAGATCCTCAACTCCCTGCATCGCACAGCCCCCCCCAAAAAAAACGGGAGTGACTCACAGAATCACCCGAACTGACTGTGGTTTGATGAACTTGGCTCTGTTTTGATATCAGTAAGGGTAAAGAGGGTTAGGTTAGCTCGCCTTGTGATGCATTCAGAGCGAAGTGCTGATAAAGGCTGGTTAAATGAGTACATTTTTATTGATACTAAGCCTAGTATCTGATTGCAGCATTCTGAGCACGGCATGTTCCTGAAACAGCACTCCAGGAACCAAAATTAAATGTAACTGTCCTGCTTGTACCGGTTGACGATTCACCCTTAAAGGTACTCTTTGGAAATGTGAGGATGAAGCATCTGAAACTAGCAAACTTTTTGTTGTTGTTGTTTTACTTCCCAGGGAAGTGGGAAATGAACTTGAAATAGTTTGGGAATCGACCACCAAAGAAACCAGGAGGATGAAGGAACTCTTGCGTAAATCTCAGGAGAAGAGCAGGCAGAGCCCTGTCAGAGCTTATGAATCACATTTGGCTGACACAGATGCGGCTGTCACTTCGAAGGCAAAATAAGGTGAAAGATGTGTCTCACGTTAGCAGAGAGGCTCGGGAAAAGAAAAGGGGGGGGGGATTAATTACACATGTAGTATTTAGATAGTCTCCAGTTGTCCCTTGATGAGAAGTGTGTTAAGTCGCTCACTTAACAAAGCAGTCAGAGAGTGATTCAGCAAGAACACAACTTTATTCTTCAACTCGAACACAACTCCAACACGGATCAACATCAGATAGCCAGAACAGAACGGTTCAGCTTTTACATTGCAGAAGCCTTGCTTTTAAACCTTCCCGGCTAATATAGCCACGCCCACTGTACACATAACAACCAATAAGGTTGAAGACATAAGGACCAATCACGGTAGTTCCCGCTCAGGAGCTTACTGTAAGGTGATTGGCTTGTAAATTCCTGGACTAGTACCAGATTGGATATCTTTGGATCCTAGTCCAGGACGAAGCTTAACATACCATTCTTATGAGCTGTTTCACATAAGATGTTTACGTGCTTTCCAATACATCACAAAGTGGACATTTTAAGCTTTGAAGAGGACTCCATTGAATAGTTTTGTGCAAAGGGATCAAGGTTTACATAGCTGAACATAATATTTCTAGACGTGCAAGACATTGTTGGTGTTTGGATAGTCTCAGGAGCTCCAAAGCCCATCACTGGAGACTCCATCTTCTATTTCAGTTGTTGGCAGACAGTGAGAATTCATGTTCTCACTGGGCTAGGGCTCGGTCAACCAGCCTTTGGAAGGTTGTGGTGGCTCCGTTTAGCCCAAAGGTAGGACTGGTGTGCTGGGTGTTGTGCTGGGTGGCAGGCCTTCTGCAGGTGGTGTGCCAGGTGCTGAGCTGGGTGGAGGGCCTGCTGTGGGTGGCGCCCTTCTTGTGGGACTGGCTGGGCCCACGACGTAGCTCCCCACACTGGTGTAGCTCCTCCATGCCCAGGTGAATCCCTTGGGCTGGGTGGAAGTCCAGGATGGCAGTGGGTCAATGCGGGGTGTCCTCCCTGCCTGGTGATGTAGATGTCCCAGCTTCCTTCCCTTGGTGTCTGGCTTGGGGGGGGGGGGTTCCTCAAAGATCTGAGACATGTAGTCCAGGTTGAGGTGGGACTTGCCAGGCTGGTGCTGTACAGTGAAGCTGAAAGGTAAAAGGGAGAGGTACCACCTGAGCACTTGCTGGTTGTGGTCCTTCATCCGGGTCATCCACATCAAAGCGGTGTGGTCTGTTAAAAGGACGAATGGGTTGGTCGCCAAATAGAACTGAAGGGCACTGACAGCTCATTTGACTGCCAGTGCCTCCTTTTTGATCACTGAATATTTCTCTTCTGCTGGCTGTAGCTTGCAGCTAAGGAACAGGACAGACCCCAGCTGGGTGCTGGAGGCACCCATCTGCACCAGGAAGGGCCGGGTGAAGTCCGGGTTTTGAAGGACTGGGTTTCGGTACAAGGCGGTCCAGAGGACATTGAAGGCCTCTTGCATGGAGAGGGTCCAGTGGAGGGTCCTTTTTAAAACTGTTGGTGAGTGGGCTGATGAGGGTGGCAAAGTGGGGAATGAACTTCCCATATACGCGAGAAGGCCCAGGAGCCACTGTAGTTGCTGCTTTGTGTTGGGCTGGAGGACTTTGTTCCATGGACATGGCCTTTTCTGGTAAGGCCTCAGCTGGCTCCATCCTACAATGAAGCCCGGATACTTTAGTTCCCTGAAGCCGACATAACTTTTTCCTGGGGTTGGCCTTCAACTCTGCCACTGCCAAGTCATCCGGGAGTCGCCACAGATGGTGTATGTGGATGGACCAATCAGGACTGCAGAGAATTATGTCATTGATATAAGCCTGGACCAAGCCTTGACACTGTGCTAGGGCTCATTCAACCAGCCCCTGTGATGTTGTGGCAACTCCATGTAGCCCAAAGGTAGGATTGGTGTGCAGGGTGTCCCGCCGGATGGCAGGCCTGCTGCAGGTGGCACTCCAGGTGCCGTACTGGGCAGCAGGCCTGTTGCAGGCAGTTGCTTCCTATGGGGTCAGCGAGGCCCATGATGGAAAGGCCTACCTTCACATAAATGTTTTCCCCAGGTCCTCCCCAGGTTTGTGTGTTTCATGTTGGATACATGACCCTGGGCATACATGGACTCAATTTGGTTGAGATCATGGAGGGGGCTTAATCACACCCTCCACTGTGCCATTTTCCCAACCTGAAATGCCCCTGAGGGTTGCTATTTTTTCCCACTGAATAAACATAGGCGTACTCTACAAGTACAGCCAAAAGTACTAAGTCCATGGCACCTGAGAAGTATGTAAAAATTATTTACAACATTATACAGATTTGTTTTACAGTGCTGATATCAAACTTTAAATACTAAGTTAAAAATCAGTTGGAGGAATTTCCATATCACAAAGTACCAGTTTGAATAATAACACAATAAATTGGTAATTTAAAAATCCAATTTAGCAGTAATTTACTGAGAACTGTAGTAAATCTTCATAGTAATCATCAGTAAAGAGCTGTTGATGAAGAGAGACGTTGAGCATGGGCACCATCTCTACTCCCCTTTTGAAGTTTCTTCTTCAAGGCCAACTTCTCACATTTCAAGGACAGCATGTCAAAAGCTTAACAAAATTAAAACAAAGTTTACTGCCAAGCCAATATCATTTCTCCCATGTAATAACAATACCAAAGTGATACCAACCTTTTACATTTCAGTTGCAGCACATCAAATAGTATAACAATGTTTTAAACAGCAGTCGTAAAATGCTCACATGCGGATCAATAATGAATAGCTTCTTGTGGGATTCGGCGCAGTGAGAACAGTCACACCGGGATGCTTTCCCGTGTGATGGCTGGATCGTTGCCTCTTCTAGAGGGGTTCAGGGGTTCCCGAACTCCAATGAGCTCCCCGAAGAGGAGCTCATTGCAAGGAGCTTCACTTGGACTCCCCCACGAGTGGCAGCAAGCAGGCGGGAGCCCTAGATCACCCAGAGGCAAGAGCCATTCAAGAGCACCCATGTCAGACATCGGTGCACAGCTGTGACTACCCAGGCAAAGGGGGGAAAGTTTTACACCTCATCCATACCATTGATGAAGAATAACACCATGAGTACACACTTAAACGCAACAACATTAGAGAATCACCTACAATAAGCCCCTTTAAAGTTTAAAGAGACAGAGGAAGGGAGGGGTGAAGAACTTTCCTCCGTCCCCTCTCCTTCCTCCTAAACATGGCTAGGAAAATATCTTAAAGCAACTTTCTCTTTTTAAAATGGTTTTGGGGGCAAAAAAAGCAAAGAAAAGGCTATTGTCTGAGAGTATAATATCACCCAATGAAATACATCATTTGAGAAAAATTGGTATTATCTGACTTTGGGCTTGACTGAAGCAGTAACAAAACTATTTTTTTCCCTTGGAACTATAAGCAAGGCATTTGGAAATACATGAAGATCTTGTAAAGGATCATAATTAATTCCACTCTAATAAGGATTACAATTAACTATACTTCTATAAATGGATTACAAATACTTTATTGCTTAAAAAGAAAAAGAATTGGATCTTACTTCAAATTTATTATACGCCATATTCCCATAACATTTTTTATTGAAACCATAAAAATTTACAGTATATTGATTGTACTGCACTGTATTTTAAATAGCTGTATACTTTCTAGAAACCACAAAAATTCACTGTGTTTTGACTCTATTGTATTGTATTCTAGAAAACTGATTAGAATCTTGGCTTATGTTGAAAGTGTCTCTGTTTTTAATATGATTACTACAGCTATTGTTTTGTAAACATTAGAAGTGGTGTGAATGCAAGACTTTGCAGAAAAAAATACTATTTGTTTATTTGTCTCATTTATACCCCGCCCTCCCCACAAAGCAGGCTCAGGGCAGCTTCCACTCAAGCATAAATACAATTAAAACATACAATCATATTAAAAACAACAGTTAAAAACAGTTAAATAACTTCTGAGATTTTTCTTTCCTAACACATTGTTTTAAAAATGGATGGCATGGATACATTTCAAAAGGTGCCAGGAATTACATCTTCAGTTATAATGAATCCTCTAGATACTAAATTATTGCAGGTTTCCTTACAGGATCTTCAAATTTTAATTCAGAATACAGTTATTACTGCTGTCAGAGTGGCAATGAAAGAAGCTTTGGATTCTATTCAAGATACAATGGAAACTTTATCACAACAAATTGTTACTAAGAGGGAGGAACTTCAGAAACAATGGAAAGAAGATACACAAAATTCTTTGTATGTACAAGATATAGAGGAAACCTACGATCAAACTGATATGATCTACAGAATGGACTATGCACCTACAAAGAGAAACAAAACCTTCAAAGATGTGTATTTGAGCTCTTATAAAAGAAACATAAGCGATGAAATCTTCAAGGCAGGGATTGTTACATCACTTCAGAGAGAAGAAAGAGAAGAACTTGTGGAATTTCAAATCATCTCAAAATTGAGTACAGATGGCTTACACTGGAAGACACCTTCTACAACTACAAGGGAAAAAGACATAGAAGCATGACTCTAAAACTTAAGAGGAGAAACCAGACAATGAAGAACAGGATGAAGCGCTACAAAAAAGACTAGAAATTGTTGAGGGAAACCGTGAGAATCAAAGTGGAATAAGATTCCATAAATGGACTGAAAAGTATAATAAAGGATTAAGTTAAATTCTAATCCAGAAGAAAATAAGATTTATAGACTTTAAATATAGTTAATTGAAGAATATAACAAAATGCTTAGACAAAGTCTGATTTAGTAGTAAATAATAAATTAGTACTTACATATGTGCAAAAGATCACAAGATAATATAAAGTGAAAAAATGAAACGTATTTATATAATGCATGAGGTAGTTTAGTAGATAAAAAGGCAATGTAAAATGGAATGCCACAATTTTATGTACCTTTGTGTTTGTCTTATTTGTGTGGAAAATAAACAATTATAAAAATAATAATAGCTTCTTAAAATAGCAATTAAGTAATATTCATTACATTAAAATTCACAAGCATCAGCTGCAAACCTCTCACACTCAAAGGATAATCTACTTCTTAAAAATACAGTGGGCCGCACACACAATACCATATTGCCTAAACAAAAGAGTTCAAATCACATTTCACATTCAGCCCAAATGGAACTGCAAAATGCAGAGTTTAAATCCAATGAAATTCTTGTTGCTGTAAACATCAGCACCTGATTTAACAATCTGAGCACTGTCTGTTCCAAGGAAATTAGCTGTGATATAATCTGTAACCTTTGAGAATTGGATTGAGGCAGTTTTCTGATGGTTTTTGATTTGTTCCTTTGAACTTTCACAAAGACTTGCTGTCCTGTCGGGCTTGTGAACAGATTGGATGCTGTTGCCTTCTTTTAGGATCCTAAACCTGTTTTCCAGATGGTTACTTGTGCCTTATATGTACACAGGGGTCATTTCCTGCAGGAGCGCACAGGAGCGGAGCTCCGGCAGTAAAGAGCCCAGGGGGCGGGCACATGCAACAAGCCCCACCCCCTGCTCCCAGCAGCTCTCAGTCAGAGCAAGAAGCAGCCAGATAAATTGCAGAGCCCCCTCCGTCCCGCCCCCGGTCTAAAACAGTCCAGTGGCACCAAGTTTTATTCAGGTACAAGCTCTCCCTCCTCTGCAAGGAAAGATCTGCACAGATCTGCACATTCCCCCCCCCCAATAGTTAGCAATCCAAAACAGTCCAGTGGAGCCTGAGCGGTGGGTGTTGCCTTCTGACACACTTCTGGTGGCATATGCAAATAAATTATGCTAATGAGTTATGCTAATGAGCTCCTGCATCTCTTTTTCTACGAAATGACCCCTGTATGTACAGATTGGAAGTACAGTACACAGCTGGCTGTTTCCTGGCTTTAAATATTTTTTTTTACATACTACTGTGGTGCCATGTACTTAGCCCTTTTTGTTGTATT